TTCTTCATCAAGCTCTTCCGCCCCTCGGAAGCAAACGTCCTCTTTGACGGCGCGTCCCTCGTCCTCTACCTCATCGGCGTCGGCGTCTACATTACCAACATTGTCAAGGGCCTCCGGTCCGTCAGCGCGGGCATCTGGGATGACCCCAACTTTACCGGAGAAGTGAAAGACGGCCCCGTCACGGGGGAGATCATTCTGGGCAAGGAGGATAGTTTGAAGGTGCTGGCGGCGAGCAATACCATTTTGGCGCTCGTGTTGGTTGGTGTGCTGGTGTTGCAGGCTGGGCAGTGGTATGCTGAGCGCAAGGACCGCGAGGACTTTGCGAAGCTGGAGAAGGAGGAGAAGGGGGCCAAGGGATCTGCGAGTAAGAAGAAGCAGTGAGAAGCTTTGGACTCTTCTTTCTGGGTGCTTGCGCAGGTGGGTATTGCGCGGATGGATCTAGGTCCTTGGGAGGTCTTAGGTAAAGTGAGGGGTTGCGAAATATCATGATTGGTTTGCCCTTCACATCGACTTTGATGGCTTTTAGGGTGGTTCTAGGTGACATTTGCTATTCGCATCGGAAATAAGGATCACTGTATGAGGCGCACCATCAATGGGCAAAGGCACATTATGCCTCATTCAAAATATATCATGTCTCAACGCCATTCTTTTTGAACTTTGACATTCGGGCTCTATTTAAACCCTAACCTCTCGATAAGGTAACAACGACAAGCAAAGAAATCCTGCCCCCTCAACTAGCAGTCCTATCGCATCTCTACCACAGATAAATGCGTCTACCTTTTTTTTACTCCTTATCCCACTCACACGCAAGCCCTTACTCGAGCTTGAGCTGCTCAAACTGCTTAATCGTGTCCTCGAAACTCCTGGCCTCAGACTCGAGGTCGACGAGCTTCTGCTTGTCCAGCTTCTGGACGGCCTCGGCGACCTTCTCCTTGTAGATGGGGTCGTTGAGGACCTTGTGCTGCTTGTCAATATTGGCGCGCGCCTTGTCGAGCCTCTTCTTGGCCTTCTCAACCTCGGCGTCGAGGTCGACGCGGCCCTTGACGTGAAGGTACACAGAGGCGGAGGAGGCGACGGGGAACGCGACGCAGCCGGCGGGACGGGCGGCGTCGGAGGTAATGATGTCGATGCCCGTGACGCCCTTGCCGCTAAGGGTTTTGATGGAGGCCACCTGGTCGTTGATGGTCTGGTGCGAGGTGGCATCGTGAGACTGGATAATAACTGATGATCGTGTCAGTGGGCGGGACCTACATCGCAACATCGGCACATGTGACTTACTCTTGCTCTCCTCCTTCTGAGCGTACTCGCTCATGAGGGATCTCGCACCACGCGAGCATCCCAGGACAAGCTCGTACGCGGCCTCGGACTTGGGGTCATCAAACTTGGCGTCGTAGACGGGGTAGCTGGCAAGCATGATGGACCTGGTCTTGTCTTCAGGGCGGCGAGGCAGACGCTGCCACAACTCCTCCGTGAGGAAGGGTGTGAAGGGGTGGATCATGGTCAGCGCACCCTCCAACGCGGTGTACAGGGTCTGGACGGCGCTGGCGGCCTCCTCGGGAGTGCCATCCCTGATGATGGACTTGCTGTTCTCAATGTAGACATCGCAAAGGAAGTTGAGAATGTACTGGTACACGATACCAGTGGCCTGCTGGAAATCTCTCGCCGCCAGAGCGGTGTTAATCTCCTTGGCGGAGTTGTTGAGCTTGTGAAGGATCCACTTCTCCGCGAGAGTAACACCAACGGTAGCCTCCTTGGCGGGAACAAAGTCCGCGGGCAGGTTACCCAGGACATACTTGGACGCTTGCCAGATCTTGTTGCAGAACTTTCTCCAACCAGTCATGACCTTGACGTCAAAGTTGACATCACCGCTCGTCGATGTGAGCGCAGCCATGGTGAAGCGAAGACTGTCAGCACCGTTGCGAGGCAGACCATCAGGGAAGGCCTGCTTCTGGTACTTCTCGGCCTTGGCAACTTCGCTGGGGTGGAGGTTACCGGTGCGAAGCTTGGCGTGGAGGTCCTCGAGCTTGATACCAGCGATGGCGTCCAGGGGGTCAATGACGTTACCCAAAGACTTGCTCATCTTGCGGCCCTCTGAGTCACGGACGAGGCTGTGGCAGTACACCTCAGTGAAAGGAACCTGGCCAGTAAGCTTGATACCCAGCATGACCATTCTGGCAATCCAGAAGAACAGAATATCCCAACCAGTCTCGAGGACAGAGGTAGGGTACAACTCCTGCAGGTCTTGGGTCTTGTTGGGCCAGCCCAGGGTTGAGAAGGGCCACAGACCAGAAGAGAACCAGGTATCGAGCACGTCCTCATCTTGCTCAAGAGTGAAGTTCTTGCCGGGAAGGGCAGCCTTGGCCTTGGCCTCGGCCTCCTCGCGAGTCTTGCCAGCGAACCACCGCTTGTTGTCCAGGGAATCGGACTTCTCGCCCTCAACCTTGGCCAGGTACACAGGGCAACGGTGACCCCACCAAAGCTGACGGGAGATACACCAGTCGTTGATGTTGGCCATCCAGGCGTAGAAGCTGCGCTCGGAGGACTCGGGCTTGATCTTGATTCTGCCGTCCTTAACAGCGGCAACGGCATCGTCGGCCATGCTGCGCATGCTCATGTACCACTGGGGCTTCAGCAGAGGCTCAATGACGTCCTTGGAGCGCTCGCAAAGGGGAATAGTCATGGCGTTGTCCTTCTTGTCGACGTAGAGACCGAGCTGCTTGAGCTCCTCCTGAATGGCATAACGCACGCTAAAGAGGTTAGTTTGCATGAGGGTATGCGAGATCTGCACAGTCACTTACTCGAATCTCTTCTGACCCTGGTACTTGCCACCATTCTCGTTGATGTTTCCATCATCAGTAAGAATGTTGATGAACTCGAGGCCATGCTTCTGGCCCAGGTTGAAATCGTTGGGGTCGTGGGCCGGGGTAAGCTTGACGGCACCGGTACCGAACTCTTTGTCGACATAGGTATCCGCAACGATGGGCATCAGACGACCCGGGATGATGGGGTGGATGGCCTTCTTTCCAACCAGGTGCGTATATCTAGGATCATCCGGGTGAACAGCGATACCTGAATCACCCAGCATGGTCTCAATACGGGTGGTGGCAACCTCAAGATACTCATCGGTACCCTCAATCTGGTACTTGAAATGAATCAAAACACCAAACTCAATCTTCTTCTCGTAGCCGGGGACCTCCAACAATGTCCTTCCAGTCAGCTCCTTGTTGATAACCTCGAGGTTGGAAAGGGCGGTGGTGAGCCTGGAGGACCAGTTGACAAGTCTGTTGGCGCGGTAGATGGTACCCTCCTCGAAAAGTCTGACAAAGGTCTCGGCAACGGCGGCGGACAGGTTCGCGTCCATGGTGAAGGCCTCACGGCTCCAGTCGAAACTTCCTCCCATCTTTCGGAGAGCAGCGTTGATCTTGTCGTGGTATTCGCCCTTCCAGGCCCAGACCTTGTCGACAAAGTCCTCACGGCCGAGGTCGTGACGGGTCTTTCCTTCTCTTCTCCAGAGCATGTTCTCGACAACGCTCTGTGTCGAGATACCGGCGTGATCGCAACCGGGGATCCAGAGCGTCGTCTTGCCCAACATGCGGTTCCATCGAATCATGATATCTTGAAGGGAGTCGCCAAGGGCGTGGCCCAAATGCAGGGCACCGGTGACGTTAGGAGGAGGGTGAGCGATGACGAACTTGCCCGCGGGCTTAACCTTGCCCTCGGCAGTGAATTCGGGCTCTGTTGAGGTTGAATTAGCTCACGCAAGACCTCCCACAAGAAAGGGGTGCGACCGGTATCACTTACTGAAGAAGCCTTCCTTCTCCCACCAGTCATACCAAGCACTCTCGACAGCTTCAGGGTGGTACGCCTTGAAGTGGGGGTCCTCGAGGGGCTTGAGGCGCTTCTTCTCTCCCTTGGGGGTATCTTCAACGTATTCAGGGATAGCCTCTTCCTCCTTCTTCTCGGCCTTGGCCTTCTTCTCCTTGTTCTTGGATGCAGCGGGGGCTGCGGCGGCCTTTGCGGCCTTCTCGGCCAACTTCGCCTTGAATTTGGCGTCCTTTTCGGCCTTCTTGCGCTCCTTCTCCAATTCCTTCTCGGTCTTCACCTTGGGAGGTGCGCCAGCGGTCGCACCAGCATCCTGACCGGCGGCATGGGTGGCGGACGTCGAGGCAACCTGGGCCTTGGTTTCGTTAGAGACGGCAGGAGGAACCTCCTCCTTGAGGCCCTCAGTAGCGCCGACTGGGAAGGAGACACATGGGTCAGCTCAATGTCTGAAGGCGTCACAATGGCAATTGGGCCGGAAGGCATCGTGAGAATGTGGGGTGTGGGATGGGGGAGGAGGGGCTTGCGCACTGGGGTTTCCGCGTCCGCTGTCGGTGGCCATGGTGGCACGTGTCTGTAGGAAAGGTCGAAGACGGGGAGGACGTGGACGTAGACTGAGTGATGGAGGGCGCACGCGGAGTGCTCGAAGAAATATTGAGTTGGACGTGGTGGATATGTTTGCGAAGAAGCCCGGGGAGGTGGGCTTCGACTGATGGTACAAATACAAAAAAATCTCCAAAGGTCTCCGAGGAGGGGCAAGCAACTATGACTCGGCGGTCTGATTGCAGCACTTCGCGGATTTGAGTCACAGGATTGGGTGTTCGAGGAGGAGGGCCTTGGAGGGGTCATGCAGCTAAAATTCGGGTGCGAGCCACAGGCGCAGGGAACCTGAGGTGCTCAAGTCCGATTTACCAGCCACAAGCAAGGGGGGTTTATCGATGACTTGCCTTATCGATAACGAGTATCCGTTCCTCAGAGCCGATAAGGTAAGGTACCAAAGTTCCTTTGGGATGAGTCGCACGCCGCTTCCCGACGCATTGAACCTGGGAAGCTCAAGCTCCAGCCACACCAATCAAGGTTGTTGGATAATTCATCATACCTACATTCATTCACTTCCTCCTACCTTCCAAAGCTGGAGCAGCTGCGGGAACCTGACTCACACAAGACCTCAATTCATTTCAATGGGTTTGTAAGAAAGAAAGTAATCTCATCAGCATATGCGTCTGTGATTATCAATCCAGTCGCGGACGAAGAACAAGCATTCCGAGAGCTCGGCCCAGCTTGGAGGTGGTGACCGTGACGCGATGTATATCCAGAGAGCCATCCCCCGGTTCGCTCAGTGTGCTAGACATTCATTGGCTAGACGAGGATATAAAACTGCATGCTTTTCTGTCCACGGGAATGAAGAGAGCTGGCAGGTGAGCCTGCCGGAAAAAAAAAGAGATCTTCCTTGCATCGAGATCTCATATCTCATTAATACTGACCGCGTGAATAGGGTACCCTCGTTCAGAGAGTGACCAAGACTGTCAGGTCTTTACAGAAAGCAGGCCTCGAGAAAGATGACGGCGCGGTTGTAGTACTTGCTTCCCGGCCATATGCGTCATGGCTGCTAGATGAAAAGTTTATGGCCGCACTGCTGCGACCCTTTGGGGATTCGAAATCATCCGGCGATGTGGGTCGCGAGTTCAACGCTCTTACCGGTGTAGTCGATGGCCTTCACCCCCTTCGTGCATTCGGTGACATCCCACACGGATTCTCATTCTACTACGGGCCAAAGGATATGATCATGCCGAGGCTGTGGCAGGGGATGAGCCCTAACATGCAGTCTGCTCCTCGTAGCAACGACAAGCTGAACGCTGCCATTACGTTTTCCTACGGGTCGAAGCCTGGCAGTTACGTATGCACACTTCCCTTGGCAAACACGATCTTTCAGAATGGCCTCCAGTCGACTCTCATCGCTAGCCGCTGGAAAGTCAACTTGAAGGGGGGTTTGGATCTGGTCGAGCGCGAAGAGCGACGGGCTCAGGAAGTCAACATCTACACCAGAGGGAGCGATCACACCAACTCGATCCAGGCACCCCTGGTCCCCATCACGGCTCCGCGGAAGATCGTATCGGGCCTGGGCAACATCATCAGGCAGGTCGACGTAGATGGTAAAGAGACGCCTGCTTCTGCGGAGCTCGAGACGGCTGTCCAAGCGCTCTTCGATAGGCGGACGGCAGAGGGCCATGAGTTCCCTCCGGGCCCCGTAGGTGTATGGGGAGTTGTTTGTCCCCCTGGCGATGACCAGGCGGGAACCATTGAGTTCTTGAACCGGTTGTCCGAGACATCGTCAAAGGTACGGAACGCTGGAGACGAGTGGTCCATGGTCCTGAATACGAAGGAATATATGAAATGGCTCATCAACAGGGGTGCCAGGGTCTACAAGATTCGTAAGTTGAACACCCGGCCCAATAATGAGTAAGCTCATCTAACCAGAGAATGAAGAGAGCGGTGGCGGCGGCTGGGGGAAGAAGGCAGGCCTCCTTTCGCTCGATCCCGAAGTCAAGTATTCCGCTTCCTCTGAGGAAGAGGATCTTGACAGCTTCATCCGTTCCTTTGAGAACCGGAACGACGGTGGTGGCGGCGACGCCGAACAAGGCGTTATCGCTCCGGGCTCGTACATTCAATACTTTGTCGCTCCGCCCTTCACCGCCGCCAAAGCGAATACAGCTGCGGAAGGCGAATCTCAGTTCACCGACTCCTTTGGAGTGACGGACGACGCGCGGTTAGAGGCATCGCCAGTTCCCGCTTCGCGAGACTGGAAACAAATCCGCCACCAGTTTGGTGCGGTGACAACCCACGGGCTCTTCCTCGAGTGCAGGTCGCTGCATCCTCTCGTCCGTGAGACGAAGCTAGACGTGCCCGGAGCGTGGATCGGACATTTAGGACTCCCTGACCAAAAACGTTCCAAGTTCAGAAGGCTTAGCCTGCACACGGAGAAAGGCTTGGGAGCCTCAAGCTAAGATGTAAAATCTATGGATGTAAGACTAGGGGGGAAAACTACTGTAATTGTCTTTTTAGGGAATGAGCTCTGTCACGTATTTTCTCTCGTCGTCGCTGCAAAGCTTGAGCCGGTCATCCGGTGTCGTGGTGTAGGTAATCGGGAGGGTTTTGACGAAAAAGAACTGACGCAATTCTGTAACTTGCAGCTCAGATCGCCGCAGGTGGATATGCACACTCTTTCTCTTTCATACATCTCATTCTTTATCAACGAGAGGTCACTCAAGCATTTAGACAGATAATTTAGACGACATAATCCTCAAGATTCCGCTTCCTCGATCATGGCCGCAACCAACGTGACGCCCTCAAAGATTGGAGTCATCTCCATCGGCGACATGGGCGTCGGCATCGCCAAGCTCCTCATCGCCAAAGGCTTCCAAGTCGCAACGAACTGCAAAGGCCGCAGGTAAATTCACACACCCTCCACCTGTATGAAGTAAACATTCGATATCAACTCGGAACTAACATTGCTACAGCGAGGACACCCTCCGACGAGCCCGCGACGCAAAAGTAGAGCTCCTAGACACAGACGAAGCCCTAGCATCCCAGTGCGCCGTAATCCTCTCCGTCGTGCCCCCGCGCGACGCAGAAGCCACCGCGGAGCGCATCATCGACGCCCTCGCCGGCACTGCATCGTCGCGCGAGACACCCCTCTACTTCATCGACATGAACGCCGTCGCCCCCTCCACCTGCAAATCCATCGCCGCCTCCTTCGCCCGCGCCCGCGCCCCCGCACGCTTCGTCGACGCCTGCATCATCGGCGCCCCGCCCAGGCCCAAATCCGCCCCCAACGCCGGCACGAACGTCTCTGCCTCGGCCCCGCCGCCCGGTACCGGCGACGACGACAACGACCCGGATGCGTGGTACGTCCCGGGCATGCCCATGTCCGGCCCCGACAAGCTGTCCGACCTCTCCCTCCCAGGTTCCTCCCCAGGCGACGCAAATGCATCCTTCGGCGCCCGCCTAAGCGCAGCCCTAGGCGGCAACCACATCTCCGACTCCATCGGCGCCGCCTCGGGCCTGAAAATGTGCTTCGCCTCCCTCTCAAAGGGCTTCACCGCCATCGCCACCCAGGCCTTCACCTCGGCCCACAGGATGGGCGTGCTCCCCCACCTGCGCGACGAGCTCGCCGCCCGCCTCCCCTCGCACCTGCAGTCCGCGGAAAAGGGCGTCGTGACGATGCCGCCCAAAGCGTACCGCTGGGTCCGCGAGATGGAGGAGATCGCCAAGACGCACGCCGAGGAGGGCGGGTTCGGGCCCGAGTTGTTTGTCGGCGCGGCGGGCGTGTATAAGTCCGTGGCGGAGGATTCGCCGCTGGGCGGGGAGAAGATTGGCAAGAGGAAGAGGGGCACGACGGTGGAGGACGTTGCTGCTGCTTTGACGGAGGGGTTTGAGAGAAAGAAGAAGAAGACGGACTGAAGACTGATTCACTCTCCCCATAAGTACAACTTGGACGAAATGTAGATTTCAGGCAAAGGGTCAAAAGTAGCTTTGAAGACTTAAACATTGTCTCAGTTACATTTCAACGCTGCACTCGTTTTTTTTGAAGTTTTCCAAAGATCGCTCTCGACGCCATTCGTACCATGAACCATATGCTGCCTGCCCAAACCTCCTAGCGCCTCCTATCCCCAGTACTATTACACCATGATCCATTATGCGCCGGCCAGGATACTCTTACACTATATAACATCATCGCACCTTCGTCACAAAATCCGTTGTCCTTATTCCAAGAACAAATGTTATAACACTGACAGTGTCAGGTCACCAGAGAGCTTCGCCTTGATGTGCACCTCGACGTCCAGGTTGAGTCTGAGGTCAACAATAAAGCCTCGCTCGCCTTCGTGTAAGATTTCTCGCGGGTTCTTCTCGCGTTGAGGTCGCGGTGTAGAGAAGTCGGGACCGCCAGGAGGGAGCTCGCCACCGTCCTCGGGCATCTCAGTTATCGGAGCTCTCAGGGAGAGATTCATATCCGACGGTCGCCGACGACACGCCGGAGGCCGCCGGATCGGTGGGAACGCTGATGATGATGATGACGATGAGCTACTCGTGGTGTCCGTGTCAGATGCCAGCGCAGACGCGCTGTTCTCGCCGAGGCGCGGCACTCTTCTAGGTGCGGCCCGTCGGTTTGAATGGCCTGACCGGAGTGGTACCGGGTCGACTAGTTGCTCATCTTCCGAAGGCATCGCTGTCGATGGTGCTGGCGCAGGCCGAGGGGCAGCTGGGCGTCTTCTGGCAGGCCTCGACGCCGACTGTCCCGAGCCTGACTGATTAGGCTTTGGGTTGGCAGCGCCCTCCCCAGCGTCGTCGGTCTCCCTGTCGCGGTCAGAGCCGTCCGACGCAGGTCTCCTACTCAAGTCTGATCCCTGTGGCCGCGACGGTCTCCTCCGCTGCTTGGGTGGTTGAGATTTGGGCCGGGGCCGTGATTGTTGCTGGGAATTATTTGGTGTAAGTATAGTGTTATTGTTGTGTGAAGCTGGCGACGGGCCCTCCGTGTGCTGGGCTGATTCCATCCCGTGTAAGTGATGAAGAGTCTGCCCAGTACAACCGGTTGATGGATGATGATGGAGTGTAAGTTGATCAAGAGTTGTTTGGATTAACTGTGTATATACTGAACACGACGATGGTGGTTGCGTATGTCCCGCTGATGTCAAAAGTTAAGATGTTGGAGATTCGAGGGTTGAAACAAACCCTCGTGTCGCGCTCTGCAGGTGGTTTGCCTCTTTATGTGTCGATCGTTATTCTCACGATTCAGTCGTACAGCGAAGGGCGCAAGACGGGCCTTCGTGCTCGGGAGAGGTGATATAAGTCTGTACTATCACTAGCAGCCGTCATATTGTTGCGCTTGCCCTATTGTCGGTCCGTTTACATAGAGTCGCCAGGTCGATGGTAGCAATCGGTGTCTCCGTTTGAATAAAGTGTGGCCGTGTCCGTGTTCACGGTTCACCGTCGACTCTCCATTCCGGTTGCAACGATTTCCAAGGTTTGAGGTGACGATGGGAAGAGTGAGGCAAGGTAGACGCCGGGAGAGAGCTGGAGTGTTGTGGTGGGAGACTTGGGGGAGACGGGAAGGTGAGAGGCGCTGACTGGGGGCCGGGGAGTTGGAGTGGGCATTTGTCTTAGTGCCAGAGCTTCTTCCTGCGACGTGCAAACGCGGGCGCGGGCGAGGTGCATGCACCCTGACGTTGCAGGCCGGGACGTGCACTTGGCGGGGGACCTGGGGCGACATGGGTGATTTTTCTTGGTTTTTGGAGGACCGTTGCCAAGTTGTATGTCACACTCTTCACATGCATGGAGGGTCCCCGACGATCGCAAACTTGATTTTTTAGGGGGCGGCGCCGCGGCGGCTCACTCGTGGACCTCCCCAGATAGGCATGTCCCTTGTTTTGACGACTGCGATTTACGGGCACTGCAGTTTATGTACGGACATCCAGTCAAGCCAGTCTCACCCATACCGAGACATGCCCTGCTCTTTGCCGCATAGGTGAAGGTGAGCCTGGTAGGACAACCAGGCCCTAGCACAGCACACCGAGTTACTCAGGAACAGCCGCTACCATCGATAACTCGTCCTTGTTGAGTTGCTCCAGTCTCCAGGGGGTCCAAAGCGGCGAAAACGGGGATCTGCAAACCTACCGAGTAACATCGGCAGGAATATTTCAGGAAATCTTCGGCGGACCACTCGAGCAAGTGGACACAGAAGCCACGGAGGCAATGCCGAAGAAAAGGGTCCAAGATTCCAAAATCCTTGATTGGTGCCCTGGTTCACTCGAGTCCCTGATTTTGGACCATGCGCGGACTGTAATCCGGATTCAGATCAGGTTCATCAACAAGCTGATGGTGTTATTGTTGACTTCTATAGTTAATGGTCCACGATGCTATTGGTGAAGGCGCACAATGGTGGGTTTTCTGACAACTGGCTTTCCACGTGTCTCAACCAGGCTTCTCCTCTCTCGTAACTTGGTCTGAGGACTGGCCCGAGACATTCCGTGCAGCATAAACCAAGGTCAGACTGAGCTGGACCAGGGTTTACTCGATCATATCGATATCATCGTTCGCGGCGGGGACCGCGGCAGCGGCAGCGCCACCGTTCGGCTGAGGCGCAGCCTCTCCGGAGTTGCCTCCGCCAAAGTAGTCAGCCATCTCGGCATCCAGTTCCTCCTGTGTCTTCCGAGTACGACCGTCTCTACCCGAGCGGCCACCTCTTCCACCTTCTTGGTCTCTGCCGCCATCTCTACCACCGTCTCTGCCACCATCTCTACCGCCTTCTCTGCGAGCTCCAGGTCTGCGTCCGCCACCACCGCCACCGTTTCCGCGCTGGCGGGGCATAGGGCTTCGCGAACGGTTTCCACGGCTTCCGGGGACGTATCTGTCAATGCCTCTCTCAGCAGCCTCGTCGACATCGTATCTTCGTCCAGGGGACATGGATCTCGAGCGACCGCCGGGAGCAGAGATTCGCTCTGCAAGTGGACGGCCCGGCATCACCGCCGAGTCAAAGGGGTTGCGAGATCGACCGCCGGCTCCACCGCCAATGATTGACAGTTTGATGGGTTGGCCTGAGATGTTAGTCTTTGAACTGCCAATGACAAATTGACTCGAAAAAAAGGCACTTACCGTTAGCATTAGCACCGTCAAACTGCTTGATCGCGTCCAAAGCATCCTCGCGGGACTCCATCGTGACGAAGGCAACGCCCTCCGAGCGACCAGCGCGATCATACTTGAGATCCAACTTCGCGACAGGGCCGATTCTGTTAAACAATTCCTGCACAAGCTTTAGTCCGGGCCACGGTATTCGACACCTTTAGGGGAGCATACTTCCAAGTCGTCAGGAGTCAACTCGTAGTGGATGTTCTCGACGCGGATTTTCGAGCTGCTCGAATCTCTGTGACATCCAATCAGCGTATGCTCGGATGGATTACGGCACAAAACTTGCCTTTGCTCAGGCTCGTCGCGTCTCCGTCGAGGGGCCGGCGCACGGCGATTGTCTGCTCCGCTTTAGCTCATGTTGTAGGTGTGGTATAGGATATTCGGTCGTACCGTGCTCTTCGAATCGATCGTGAACCCATTCACTATTCGCAGGGTTAGCTCACTGCCACCTTGGGAGTTCATTCTGCGTGGAAATACCTATCGAGGTTTCTAGGCTCGTCACGGAAGGACTGTATCGCAGGACGGCGACACCTGTTAGCTGTGCCATTGCAATCGACAGGTACCGCTCCCGGCCTTCAACAAGACGGTCGGCATGGAACCGAAAGCTGCGCGGTAGTCGTGGTCGACCGGGATGAGGAGGGAGGAGGGTCATTCAACCTGGACAATCAGCCTGGAGATCTACCAGGTGACGGGTTGTGTATGCGGCATCGTACCTTTCTAACGCCGTCGCGAGGATATTCCTGGCGTTCGCGTTCGCGTCTTCGGGGGGCACCTTTACCGTTTCCACGGTTGTTGCGAGGGCCGTCGCTCTTCTGCAATTATTTTGGTCAGATCCGAGGTCGCATATCGTACAAGGCTGCGGGTTTCCTTACCTTCTCGCCAAGGATCTCGTCAAGGCTGCGGTCCAGCTTGTCCGCCATGATGATTTGTTGGGTGGAAATATGTTCAGAAAAGAATCTATGCAACCCAAGATGTCGAATTGGGTGGTCAAAAAAATCACCTCGGTACCGTGGGAGGTGAACTTTGCTGCAGGATGTAAAAGGGACAACAATGCTGATCGCGACTCAAGTGACCGAGTGCAGTAGACACAGCTGGTAAAGGCAGGCACGGCTGACCGCGGATTGAATGGAGCATCCGACCGCCAAAGAAGTGTGGCGCACGCTGCGCTCGGGACAAAGTGGGTACGTGGCTGAAGCCCCTCGACTCTGCTGGAACTTTGCTTAAATAGGTTAGCACCAATCGGCTTCGAGATGTATGTACAAGTAGAACAGGAAATCTGGAAATAGCTCCCCATGTTTTGACGCCTGGCGGGCTCCCCACTACAGGTCTCAGGGGTCCGAGTAATCCACTCCATTTGACCCACCTCAGACTCCCAGTGGCTTCCCATCCGCCCACCGTTATCCACTCAGTCAGTGGAGTGAACCCGCAAGTACAAGCACCAAATAGCGCTGCTGGTCGCAAGCTTTACAGGCGCTGTCTCGCTTGTCGCGCCTGTATCATCCGTGCCGTCAGCGCCCTGCATCCCCTGATGTGAGGCAGGAGGATCTCTCGGCCCGGAATTAGTCCTCGAGGGAGATGAGGCTAAGCCCCTTTTGTCGTCTGAATTGTAACTTTACTGTAGAGCTGTCCTCCCGATGCGCCTCCCTTGAGTTGACCAGCCCGCCAGAAATAGGAATCTCGTATCTGGCCAATTTCTTCACTCCCTCGGCGAGAGACACACGGGAAGGAGCGCTCAGTGTCATCTTTCATATCCATTGCATGGCACCCCCGATTCCCTGCGACAAAGGAAAGAAAACCGTACCTGTTCTTCTTAGGACCCAATACCCGCGATAACTAAAGCTCGCTTGCAGCTTCGCGAAAGCCAAGCCAAGCCGAAAAACCATCGAACAACCACCTCTGATCCCTCGACAACCTTTATGATTTCTGCATAGTCTCCCTACTCGTCAGATTGCCTGCCATGGCCCGTCCCATGGGGTCAGTTCGCTTGAAGAAGGCGAACCCGGTGACCCTCGTCCTCGGCGCCGTCCTCTGCATCTTTATCGTTGTCTTCCTCGTCGGACCTTCCAAGTCAACAAAGGCAGAGCCAGCCGGTACCGCCTCCCACCATCTATCACCTCCTACCGCCCCCTACCGAAAGAAGGCCAAGGGCGACACGAGACCGCCGCCCGTCGTCCGCTACAACCTTAACAATGTCACCATCACGACCGACCCCATCGGCAACCGCGAATCCGTCCTCATCCTGACGCCGATGGCGCGGTTCTACCAGGAATACTGGGATAACCTCTTGAACCTCAACTACCCCCACGACCTCATCTCCCTCGGCTTCATCCTTCCCAAGACCAAGGAAGGAAACGCAGCGACCGCGGAGCTACAAGAGCAAATCACAAAGACCCAGGGCTCAGAGAAGAACCGCTTCAAGAGCATCGTTATCATGCGCCAGGACTTTGAGCCGGCCATCGCATCCCAGGACGAGGGCGAGCGGCACAAGATGGAGAACCAAAAGGCCAGGCGCGCCGTCATGTCAAAAGCCCGCAACTCGCTGCTCTTCACGACCCTGGGCCCCCAGACGTCGTGGGTGCTCTGGCTCGACGCCGACATTGTCGAGACCCCGCCGACCCTGATCCAGGACCTGGCGGCGCACGACAAGCCCGTCATCGTCCCCAATTGCTTCCAGCGCTACATGAACACGGAGACCAAGAAGATGGAGGAGCGGCCCTACGACTTCAACAGCTGGCAGGACAGCGAGATTGCGCAAAAGATGGCCGAGACAATGGGCCCCGACGACATCCTGCTCGAGGGATACAAGGACATGCCGACATACCGCGCGCTGATGGCGTACTTGGGCACCGATGAGAAGGACAAGTCGGTGGAGATCCCCCTGGACGGCGTCGGCGGTACTGCCTTGCTTGTCAAGGCAGACGTCCACCGCGACGGAGCCATGTTCCCACCCTTCTCCTTCTATCACCTCATTGAGACCGAAGGTTTCGCCAAGATGGCGAAGCGCCTAGGCTGGCAACCGTTCGGACTCCCGAATTACAGAGTAAGTAGACCTCGTCAAGATGTCATTGATCTACACAACCGCTCACACTACTTCAGGTTTATCACTACAATGAGTAAGGGCTAGGCATCACGATGGATGTGATCTGGGAAACAAAATGACGAGTACATCACGCCTTTCATCTAGAGGTGTTCAATGGAAAACAGAAAGTTGAAACATCCCCCACCCACCTCTTAGTCGCCAACAGCATCGGTGGCGGTATTACGAATTTTACGCGCGGAACAGACCTCATTGGAAAGAAACCTCATATGCTCCTTTACCCCTATGTGCAGATTACCCCCTTTCTTTCGTATCTTGCCAAAACATAATTGCGTTCCACTTTCTTCGGATGGGAAATGGCGGCCGGGGGGGTTGGGCAACGGGCGTTCTCTGCAGTACATTTCACACAGCAAACTACATAAACAAATCTGGGAGTCTGGTGGAATATCGGGGGGATTAGCTGGTTGAAGGGGGTGAGGAGAACGCTTCACTTCTGACCATTGGCTTCTTGAGGGTGTAAGTTGAAAAACAACGACGCGCCGCGAGGAATCGAGAGGGGGGTGCGGTGACGAATCGTGGGTTGAGCAAGATATCCACGGCATTAGAGAGAGCACCTATTCCATGTTTTCAAGGGCTCTAGTGTGATAGAACAAATGATATTGTATCTCAAAGTGAGCTTCTCGCTGCAATTATACAATCTTTCATTGAGTGATGATGATAGCCCTCTGGGTACTCCCTACCAAACGAGCCTTCCGTCCTTTCCCTTCCCAGCCCATCCCGTTCCATGTACATTTTATGTATGTGATCTTGTCAAGTTATCTTTACCCAAAAACATAAGCCGCTGCTGAAATCCAACCCAAATTCTCTCCCTTCAGAAGACTGGACCACATTAGTCTACCAGCCAGCTAGGCAGGGTAACGTTCCCCCAAGTCAGACTATGCCGCCTCCAAGCTACGATGACAGCGACAGCCTTCACCCCGCAAATCAACCTCCCCTCGCCTCCCCAATTCCCAACGGCCCTCCATCTACGGTCCTCTACGGCCCCTCTACGGCCCATCATACCGCCCCTCGTCATCGCGGCACCAAAACTCAACGAGCGCGCGCGTGCCCAGCACGTCCCCGCCGCGCAGCAGCGCCGCGACGTCGACGTTGAGCGGCGAGTCCGTCTCCGGGTAGGCGAGCAGCGTGCGCACGGCGCGCACGCTCTCGAGGACGCTGTAGGCGGGCGTCCAGGCGTCCTTGAGCAGGTCGAGGCAGACCTCGCCCGTCTGCAGCGCAATGTTGGCGTGGACCACAGGCGTCGCGAAGCGTATCGTCGGCGGGCGGATGGGGTAGTCTGTCGGGATCTGAATGTGTAGGAGCCAGCGGCCCTCTGTGTCGTCGGATTCAATATTAGCCATGGTCCCCAAGATGGAAAGAGGGGGGGGCGATTGTGCAAGGGAAGAAGAAGAAGAGAGAGAAGACCTACCATCATACCCGTTCCCGATCCCCCGCCCGTTGACAACAGCCTCCCACGTCAACAGATCCTCGTCGTCGACGGGGCCCAACCTCTCGATGCCCCTCTCCTCCTTCTTCTCCGACCGCCACACGTCGAGCTCCTTGATGAGCCTCTTGATCGCGCCGCGCCCGTCCGACGTGGACTTTGACTTTGACTTCTTGCTGCCACGGTCTCGTTCTCCTCCGCCTCCTGGCGCCGCGCCCGAGGGATTCGTCTGGGAATCGGGCAGGTTCTGAATGCGCCACGACATCTTCGACAAGTTGGGATTCCTGTCTCCTGCTTGCAATCCGGGCTGCGCGCGCGATGGATGGACGGACGGACGGACGGAGGGGGGAGGACCTGTGGTTCGACTGATAGGCTCCTGGAGCTTATGGGTCGCAAGTAAGGGAGGGAAGACGGTCAATTGGTACGTAATCGCGTATGAGTTGATGTGGTTCCCGACAGTGTTCGAGTAGATTCTCGGAGCAAGCTGGCTGTATGAATAGCTGTTGATAATCTTTTTGGATTGGGGGGAAAGCTTTGGGGCAATCCCCAAGCCGATGGGCTGGGTTTAACTTAGTTACCTTACCTTAGCAGTAGCCGAGCCACGCTCTCCAGCTTCCCCAGTGTGCCAATAAGACGTACCTTGTGACGCGACAGGATACCTAGGTGGGTCCCGTGGGTTCAGCCGAGGTTTCCCACGCCGGCTCTCGACTCCGGGTTCAGTCCGGCATCTGGCCAACATCATCCGCATCGTCCGTACGCCGTTTGCGTTCCATTTCGTTCCGTCTCGTGCCATCCCGGCCAGTGTCACTGAAGTCTTCACAATGCAAATGCTTAAACTCAGTATCATTGGCAAGTGGTCAAGTGGAAAGATTCAGAGTGACTCTCAGAAATATGTTCATTAATATTTGTCTACGTCGCGATTTGTGCCATCTTCCATCGTCTAGAGGGCTGAAACAGCCGGCCGGCCAAAGAACTATGAGAGACACTGCAAAAGTGCCTCGACTTGTCTGCCTCGCCAAGTTTTCGCCTTCCTAAATTCGCATTTCATCCCCGATATGTCCAGAGAACGGAAACAAAACCATTGAACCACATGTTTCCGGCCCCCACAGTTGTCACCAAGACATATGGCCGCGAACCTGCTATGCTCATGCAACTTGCTGCTCATGCTATCATCACAAAGAACGCCGAATCCGTGTCCCAAAAAAGCCGAGTCGTCGGGGTTCCCATCTCTGCGCGTTGCGTGAAGCTTTGGTGACGACCCGGTGATGCTTTTCTTTCGCTAGCCAGGCTGCGTCGGCAATGTAGTTGCAGACGCAAATCCCGTCCTAACGAAGAAAGACATTGTTCCGCCAGAAGGATCTGGTCGAAGAGAAAGTGTAAAGAGTTGTACAATAATTCCATATACATGCGTCATGAAGTCACATTTGTTGTTTGCGGTGAAAGCTGGCTATATCGTAGCCAGTCACCCTGACTCGTTGGTGTGCGTCTCCTATTGAAGTTTAGGATGCAGCCTCCTCTTTGCTGGGCTTCCAGAATCGCATCATCCGGCTGAGTCGTTTCGATTTGCTGGACTTGTGCTTCTTGTCACCCTCGCCATCGTATGAGACCTCCATTGATAGCTTGCTTCGCTCCCCATGAGAACTGCTGATAAGTCTACTCAGACTGGCAAGGCTGGATCGCCGCCGCCCGAATGCTGCTGAAGATACTGAGACCGGCCGCTGTTGGTCGGGTCGTATGGGCTCCTGTCTCAATTGAGAGCTGGTGGCAAAGGAGCTGTCCCTTGTCATGGTCGAGTGACTGGAGGTCAATGACGGTATATCTACGGAAAGCCTGACTTCTGGGCCCGGCTCCCCGAGAAGTAGAGATTGGAAGTTATTCTCCTCATTGACTGAAGATGGTGCCGTAGAAATCCGCTGAGCGTCATATGACATGGGCGAACGGGGTGATGGGAAGGATGAGGCGTGGCTCATTGAATAGGGGCTGACGGGAACGTGCGAAGCAGTCGGCAGGTGGAGGGGACTAACGTCGACAGGGGCCAAGTCCTTGCTGGCGAGAATTCTGCGCGGAGACGGGGTTGCGGAACCAGTAGACTCTGCTTTTTCGTTGAAGATGGAACCGGTACGGAACTCGGGGATCTGGGCAAAGGGCTCTTCAACAATGACGTCCTCTTGCAGGGGAATGGGCGCTGTCTCCGCGCTCATCTTGGCTTCTACTTTCGGTGCGTCCGTACCAGTGACCTGATCACGGCTGATGCTGCCATCAGGGCCGCTGATAGAAACATCGTCGAGAATGGGCTGCTGGACTTTGTTGACAGCGGGCGGTGTCGCCTCGTCGCCAGAGGATTCCGCACTGTCGTTGAAATCGCCTCTGTTGGCACGACTGCTCGTGTACAGTGATGCGCACTTGCCAGGGTGCTCGTCGTCTTCTTCGTCCTCCTCGAATACGTCGGCCATTGTCGAGCTGCTGCCAAAACGATGTATGCCAAATCGGCCCACATCGAATGGTACCATCTCAGGGGCGCTTTCAGCGCGACGGTGGTAGTGCATTCCTGGCCCGCTGAAGCCTTTCATACCCTGTGCGCTGTGCAGCTGGCGCTTGGTGGAGGCTGCGGCTTTTTGGGCGGCGTCCCATTCAGGGTTATTCGCAAGAGGCGTGTTGAAAGGACCCAGCGCAGCATCCAGATCAATCATGGGGAAAGATGTGTCGTCTTGGGCCGAGGCAGAGCGCGGCTTCCATTCTTGTAAGCTCTGAGGTTGGCTGGATGTATCCGTCACCATGAGTGTAGGTGTGACCGGTTCGACGTTCACTTCCGGTTCCATCAAGAGTGTGAGGGGTTCATCCTTCTGCTCGATCGTCTCGAACTGGCGGGCAGAATCGCCCGTGAGATCCAGGTCTTTGCACTTCTTGTTCCGCGGTTTACTCTTTCGTGCTAGAATTGATCCGGCCCAGTTCTTGACCTTCTTCTTCTTCTTGGACTTCTTGCCGTCTGCTCTCTGGCCGGCGTGGTCCGAAAATTCTGAGAAGCCAACCGATTCCGAGTTGGGCTCTGAGGTTGATGAGGAAGATGAGCTGGTTGGCTTGGATCCAGAATCTGAAGAACTCGAGCTCACGGGTCTCGTGCGGAGTGGTGACGCAGTTGCGTTGAAAGGGTCCAATCCGAAGAATGACCACCTCTTGGGAGTCTTGGTTGGACTAGGCATCGGGGGGCCTACAGAGCCTGCTTCAGGCACGTTGATTAGGGTAGGGATGGAGTTTCTCCTCCTTGGCGATGCCCCGACTGATTGGATGCTCTGGGATCGTTCCAAAACCGCCCCAGCAGTGCTAGGCCTGGACTCGTTGTTCTGGCGAGAAGGTGTAAGTACCAGAGGAATAATAGGCTCGGTCTCCACATGTGTAGTTGTCGTTGGGATGGAAATGATGGACGAAATGCTTCCAGATACCGAATGCCCTCCGGGTCGAGCTGTAACTGTGCTAGAAGTATCGCTTGACACCATTGATAGCGGGCGTGGGATGAACTCGAGGGTATCAGAGAACCCAACACGAGCACGCGTGACTGGCCTGGCTGCGGGAGAAGCCCTGCCACTTGATGAACCCGAATCTGCAGTGACTGGCCTGGTAAGTTCTCTGGGCACTCTGAGGGCTGGTTCGGATTCAACACCCTTCAGAGTCTTCTCGACCAGACCCGCATTGTGATGGTCTAAACGCCGATCAAATTCAGCCGGGCTTGTAGGAGCACTGTTGCCCCTGAGGTTACCGGACGCTGAAGGCTGGACAATGAGAGATAGGTCATGGCTTGAGAGCGCAGCAGAGCGTCTGTGTTTGTGGCCACGACCGCCTGGAGGCTTCGGGGGCAATTGGAAGTTTGGGGACGCAAAACCACTCTCGGATCTCGTTGGGCTTGTGCCAGTTACGGTGATGGAATCTCCAGAACGGATGCTTCCTCCTACAAACTCGCTCCCTCCTCTCCTGTGTCCAACTCCAGTTGGTCTTGCAGGTGATGCCGCTAGTCTCGGGGACACAGGCGGAGGGGATAGAGGCGGGCTAAGCAAGAGGGATGTATCTGGAGACAACGAAGCGCCGGGATTGAAGGTAAAGTTGGGGAGCGCGGGTGATCTTGACGGCCGATCTGCTGCTTCTGAGTTCATGTTGAAGGTCGATCGGTCTTGAATTTCGATGGCGGACAGCGGACGTCGCCCAGTTGCTCTCGAGAAGGATGACGGTGCAGAGGCCGAAGAGGGCCTTGCCGGGAAGACGAATGGTGGGTTTGGTAGTGGAGGCATCGTTCGTGGAGAGTGTGGTCCGGAGAATGATGATGTTGAGGAAGTAGAATTATCCAGCATTACTGGAAGAGAAATCGCTTGCATCGAGGGCTCGTCCAAAACCTGTGTACTTGTGGCTATCATCATACTCTCAGGTCCGACAGTGGTTGCCATGCTTTACTGAGCCGCTCTGCGGCTACAGGTTTGATCAGCAACTAAAAGAGGGACATAAAGAGGGCGCAAATGCAAAATGGTCGTCGTGGGTTGAGAATGGAGGATCGTTTGGGTGCTCGACAGAGGACGACGCGTCAGGGGGCGTTTTGCGAAGTGATGGCGGGTTTGGTAATTAATTCTGCAAGGTGGCAGATTTAGCGAGTTGGTTCTTCTTTTCGTTTTTGATATCGCGAAAGAGAATTGGAAGAATCGATGGGCGAATAAACACCTTTCGGAACAAGTCGAATATGGCGCGCTGACGATGGGAATTGGGCGAAATTGGCGTTCACGATTGCGTACGTGACAGAAGCGGTCGACCGGGTAAGACAAATGCTATTTATCGAAGATGAAAATTGAAGGTGTTGTTAAGGAGCGGACGGCACAAGACCAGAAGCAAATCTGCAAGATCTACAACTAGAATTGAACCACGAGACAGAAGTCAAGAAACGACGACGGCCTCGAAGGGTTTTGGGGGGAAGAGAGTTGATGGGAAGAAGAGGGGGGTTGCGACGCGGAAGACTAAAGAGAGGATGGGATGGATGGGTGGATTTAGGATTAGAATTGGGGACAGACACACACACACACACACGCACACATACACACAACAGCGAAGAAGCGACGAGTCGGGTCCAGCGGTCGGGGTGTGTTGGCGATGGGAGAAAAGGGGGGTGAGAAGACAGGGATGAAGAGGGTGTGTGGGAGGAAAACCTCAGTTGGGTTTGGACTGGCTCGGGGAGAGGGGGGGGCCAGTCTGCAGAGGAGGAAGGAAGTCCAGGGGAAAAAGAGGGAGAAGTAGTAGTAGCAGGAACAACTACGACCAGGGGGCGTGCGATTGTGATTCCAACCTGGAAGTCACAGTCAGGGCCCGGACAAGCAAGGCAGGGACGACCAGGGGCTGTTCAGGTTGATGGGGCAGCAGCCGTAGCGCACTCGCATTTCATCACTCAGAGTGCCTCAAAGACAAAGTACGAATATCCGCACCGGATTTACTATGCAAAGCAAGGTATCTCTCCTATTCACGCATACGGAACGGGGCAGACAGACAGCAAAGAGGCACCTCGCGTCGCAGGATTTGACAGAGCACACCTCACTCAGCTTTGAACCCAGCGAGACATGGACCAGTCCTTAGGAGGTGGGTTGGACTCTTGGTAAACAGAGCATATTATGTATAGGCAAGCACTACAAGGTACGTGTTAGGTATCTGTTGTTCATGAAAGACATGAATCCAGAGAGTCGCGTCGAAGCAAAGATGTGTATGTAAGGCGGTTAGAGCTGAACAAAAATTATCGAGTACTCTTTATTCACTGTTTGGGATAGTTGTTGAAACTCGTATGCGCCCACATTCGGTTTTTTGCCTACCTACTTAGTTGAGGCACAACGCGCCGTATGTATACCTTTACACACAGAACAAGACCATGCATGCTCTACAGTTCCAAATGTATCAGTAGTTCATCAGGAGTACCTAGCTGGAAGATTCATATCCCCATCAATGAAGCCCCTGGTTCCCTACTCACTTCGACGCTTCCAGATGACATTGACATCCTCCGTCTTCCGGACCTGTCTTGGTTGTGTCTGTAACCAACGTAACGTGCAGCAGTATCGCTGTGCTGCCCTGCACTCTGCATGAAGCACTGCATTCACGCACACACGTTGCCGCAACTAGACGGGCCCTGACAGGTTGGTGTTTTGCCTTGCAGCCAATTCTGCACTGAGTTGGGTGCGCCGACCAGCCTGCCTCCAGCAAACCGCTCACTCAAAGCCGCTCAGTTCCTGAGCAACCTGACCAGGCGGCCCAGGTCCAGGTCGTCGAGGAGGGCACAGACTGGATTCTCTAGCGTATCATGGAACCTGCTTCCCGTAGTTGTGCGAAGTGTGGTGAGTGGCCGTACTAGTACCGAGTAATCGTCGCTGAGGTGAGTTGACGGTGAGATGTTGGCTGCCACACCTTTTCCTCCCCTCCTCCATGCTAGCGAGCTCTAACACCCGTACCAGTTCGCACTAAGACTCGGCCGTCGTTAGGCGGCCACAGCCCAGGCCCATCTTCCTCTGCTTCCTGACCTTAGCGGCGGCCCAGTAGGTTGTTGGCTTGTTTGGCTTGGTTGACTTGACGAGGTTGCCAGGCAGAAGCTGGCACGAGAGGACTAGACAGAGCGTAGTAGAGCCTAGGGGACCCGCGAAGCTGCACCTCAGCCGTCAATGGCAACGCAACGTCTTCACCGCTTCGTGTGGCCTCAAACACACGTTCGCTATTGCTTTCCTTTGTCTCTCATGCGCGTATTTGGTACCTACCTATTTCATGACCCTTCTACTGGTAAGGCAAGATCACGGACTGGGCAAAGGGAATCTGACTTTTATCGAAATGGTTTGACGATAGTTCTGAGACTGGAACAGTGGATCTGGGCCTGCAATGAGTCGGCTTGCTATAAGTCAAAAGAGAACCTAGGAACGGAAGTGGACTGAAGGCAGGGAATAGAGGCGCTGAGAGTTCAGTGCGCTCTGTGTCGTGCATTGTGTAAGGGACGGAGACCACGGTACCCTTGGGCTGTTGTGTTCAGGTACTTGATTGCGGTGCAATAGTGAATTTTCTGTTGGCCACCACCACTGAGACTGAACTTGATTTCCTGCCCTGGTATTACGGAGTATGCGTACCTTTTTCTTTCTCATCTTACCTAAGTCCACTCCAAGCACTCAAGCACACACACGCACACCAAGCAGGCACGGCAGGTAAGACCTTCCATGCGGGGAGGTAGCGATACGTATCTTTTCACACAGGCGGAAGGAACTCTCCAGGAGCGCTTCCCCGTCGCATCCCGCAAGTGGCTCACGAAATGCACGGTCAGAGCAAGACTCAGAGCGGGAAACTTCACTTTTCGCAAAGAGAGAAACCACCAGATGTTGACTTTCTCTGATGGATCACTTACCAGCAAAGACTGAGCCAAGTAGGGCTCGGCGAGCGATTAAGTTCAGCCGTCAGCTACGTTAGTATACCTTAGCAGCAGCGCACATCATCAGCTCAACCACAACCACGGCACCTCCGGGTTTGGGGGGATGACAAGAGAAGGTGCCGATGGGAGCAAATCCAGACCGGTGCTATGATGGACGACCGGATGACCAGCACATGGCAGATGCGGACGAGACGAATCATCGCAACGCCGTGCCCGACTAACAGCACCAGAGTAGCGATGGCAGACAACCGTCTCTGCAGGTACAGCAACGGCGTTGGCTCCATTCGACCACGCCCCCTCCATCTCCATCGCTGCCATCCGCCCCTTGCGGCAATTCTGCGAGAAAGCCACCACAAGACACAACTAAAGCCTCGAGAGAAGAGACGGGACGATGAGGCACCAGAAAGTTAGGCCAAGTCACTTCAAGTCATGTCATATCATGTTTTGCTCGACACCGACCACTTCCCAAGGTTCATACACCCAGCTCCCGCCCAAGCACCACCTCATCGGGGATTACACTTTCGCTTCGTCTTCTAACCTAGATTCAGTCCCGTATACTGAACACCTTCTTTGCTTCTTTTCCTCGACCCGAGCGACCCGGCCTGGTTTCAACCCCAATCAAAGACATCGGCGGCCGTACCTATGTACGAATATTGCGCGGGGGGCTTCAACTCGATTCGAATCGACAGCCACGCCGCATCTCGAAAATGGGCCGACGCCTCGGGTTCTACCTCGTCCACGGCCAACGCCAGAGCCAAAGCGGTCAAGCGATGTGTGTGGGCTCAGTGCAGCGTCCCAAAATGGACTTCTTCGATGGTAACACGGGCGCTGAGGCGGCACTGGAGCCGAATTTCTCCTCCACGTCCAGGTACAACGGCGGCCTCTGACTGGCTTACGGTCCTGAGAACGAGAGATGGCCAGGGGTGTAAAACACATGTGCCAAGGTCCCTTCGTCACTCTTTATCCACTCTTTATTGCTGGGCTTCAGAAACGCCCGCGTACCCCCAGGCCCAGAGGAGACGATGGCTCCCCCTCCAAGCCTCAAAGACCCCTCCCATCTCCATTTTATTTCAATCGGCCAGATGACCGATAGCACCTGGCAGATCTGCTTGCTTTTTCCTTAGTCTGGAAAGGGAAATCTCTGGATCCACTGGAACCACAGCTACGAGTGTCTACGAATACCTCACTATTGTGAATAGGGTACGGAGGACAAATCCACGCGAATTGGAGAGGCGTTCCGAGGGAGACGAATGCCATTGTCAATAGTTGCCTCTTCAGTTGTTCACTTTTCGCATATCGGGATGGTATGCGGACATTCGACTGATGCCGTCCGTCTTTTCAGCAATTGGCGCACAGCATCTGTCAAATCGTCGTACCGGGACAGCAATGGCGACATGATGCTAGAGGAAACATTTCATGTCCTATCATTGGCAACCACCACACGCTTTCCGGATGGGATGGGATGAGATGGGATCATTACCTTATTTCTCCCATGTTCCCGTATTTGACGCCCCCGTTTCCTCAACCCACTTGGCCGCCTAGGTAGTAGTGGGGGGGCATGTCACAGTCGGAGCTGATGGAGCATCAAAGGCAACACAACCATACAACCCCACACAGGGCTATGTCTTCTTCTGTCACTGGCAGGCATGGCAGGCCAGTTCGTATGCACGGAGCGCTCGTTTACGTTCACAACGGCAGCAATCGATTCCAGGGCTTTGTGCGGGTAGTGCGCGTCGAGCCATCATTGCACAGCTTCGGCGGCGCCTTCAACGTTTGAGGAAGCCACAAACTATGATAAACCGCCCGAGGGATGGTTTATCTGAGGCTTGCAATTGCTTACAGCGGAACAAAGAGAGTATCACGCGGCTTAACTCTAAAGTCTGTTTTCATTTTCGTTGCTACGGTCGGGAGCCTCATCTTGACTCAGTCGCAAACTCGGGCGTCGGAGCCGGACCAGGAGCTCTCTTGATCGAACGACTGGGCCCGCCGAATTTCTTCCAAGCCTGGTCTTACCTAGCTCTGATCAACGTCCGCCAGCCCGTTGAAAAATTAACAGGTTCTTCGTGCGACGGCGCCGTCACGGTTCAACCCATGGCATCAAAGTATGACAAAGAGGGGAAGCTATCCCCAAACGACTAGCTTTGCTTAGTGGCCTGGCCATCAACTCTTTACCCTTCAAACGTTTCCGAGTCGCCCATCGCGACGAGCATCAACAAACAGGCGGCTTCTACCCGTTGCTGGCCTACCAAGGCCCGATGCTCTTCCCAAGCCGCCCTCATGCGGCTGCTGCTCACTCACCCTGAGAGTTGCAGATACACCTGCAGAAGCAACAGATGATAACCTTCGCGCCTCTTGCATCGCTCCAACCAATCTGGCCTGTCAATCGCCATGTTGCATTCGAACCCACTACGCGAATTCAAGTTGCATAGTGCACAGACGGACCTGCATGACGCCACGCACCAATCGAACACAGAATGAGGCACTTCGGTTTGATATCGACGAGAGGGATTTTGACAATGGTTCTTCGTTCGATACTAAATACAACGCGGTGAGGAATAACGCATCAGTTGCATCTCTGCTGTGTATCCGTACGGATATCTATTGCCACCATGTTGAAACCCTGGGTCGATGACATGCCGAGACTGATGGTCGTATTCAATCCTGCCACTGGCAGAATCCTCCATAAGCAAATCAGGAACAGTTCCTCCTTTCAAACACTCATCTCCCAGCAGGGAACAAAAATCATCCTCGTGATGGTGCTTTGCCTCCTTGGCTGACAGCCATCTCCACCCCGACTGGGATGTTCAGTCCCCATCAATTCCCATTTCGTACTCTTCCCTTGTCAAATGTTTCTTTCCCCCGAACTCCCACCAATTTTTTTTGCAAGCGCGGCTCCGGCCCAAACCATACTGACTTGCATCATTTCATATCCGATCCGATCTGCCAACTGTTCTAAGAATACCTCACCCAACTGTCCCCTACGCTTCTGCCAGCTGGTGGCCCTCTGTCGACCCTTTCAACGTTTGCTGGCGGCAATTCTGAACAAGCCGGGTCCGGTTGAATTGCGGGTGACCCAAACTAATCTCGCCTGCAAGATTGACCAGCAGCTGCTTTCAGCATGACCCCACGCCCTCGGTAATAAAATGAAGTGGTGGCCAAGTCATCACAGATTTTAGGTGCCGCCGTTGTTCAAATTTTTTGTGCCAGCTGTCTTTACCCAATTCCCCGTCAATATTTGCTCCGGTATCCCTGCGCCGACCAGTAAAGACATCATCTTTAAGGATCACTAGAGGCTCTAAACATCGGGAACCTAGGGTTTAATATCTGGGATATCCAAGTTTGACGTGACAAGGCACGCGTTCGATTGATTCGGGCGGCAGGGATGCCGACTCCAGAATCTGATAGTCTTTGCCAAGTTGGCAGCTGGGGAAAGGAGGAATGTCTTTTCAGTGTCATTTCGGCAGCCTCGTGCGCCGCCACATCGTCGGACATGAGCTTGCCTGCCTAGAAGCGGTACATCTCAACCGCAATTTGATTGGTTTGTTGTTGTTCCCTTGACAAGAACCAAATCTCAACGCCATTCATCTCTGCCGACACTACACGCCAGTCCTTCATGCGAGCTCCCGGCCGAAGTTCGTTTTCCTTGAGGCACCAATCGATATAATATCTCAAAGCCAGGCCCTAAGTACCTTATTATCGAAGAAAGTTAATTCTTTTTAAGTTATAAGTATAAGAATATAGTTTTAATAAAATAATATAATACCTATTTAGTATTTAAATTAAAATACTTTTTTAAGCTTATTATAAAAAAAAATAATTATATTACTAACTATTTATTATTAAAGTCCGTAAGTAGCGTTATAACTTTAATTATAATAGCTTTATTTATAATAAGTAAAAAGTCTAATTATAAGTCCTTTAAAAGCCTCTTTTTAAGAACTATAAGAGCCTTTAAGTTAAATTAAAATATTTACTAAGATATTAATAACTAAACTAACCCTATAATAACGACTTTAATAAAAAACTTAATAAATAATATTAAAAACCTTACTAATATTAAGTATAATTTATAAAGCGTAGTAATATAACTATAAAGTATTATTAATATATTTTATATTAAAAAGGGTATTATTAATATTAATAAAATAAATAGGGCTATATTAATATAGCGCCTTAGCTTTTTTTTATAACTTAAGGATAATTATTTTAAATAATATTAAAAATTTATTAAAAAGCTCTTTTAAGTACTTTAATATATTTATTATTATTTTTATAATAATAAGACTTTTAGTACTTATATATAAAAGTAAATTACTTATTTTTAAATAATAATATTAACTTATTAATAAGCTATTAAAACTACGATTTTAGCGATTTTTTAAGGGAGAGGGTAGAATAGAGGAAAGGATAAGTAAGAAAAGGGTTAAGGTTAAATAGTGCGGAATTCGAGGGCAGGGTAGCGTCTATATATACTACGGCAATCCTCTAGTAATGTAAAACGATGGAGTTAAACAGTGTTAAAGCTAGGCCCAGCCATGAGCCACAGCCGTTAGACGGCGGCGCAAAGAGAATAACACAAGAAAAAAAAAAGGACTCAGGCTTCGGACGTCATTTCAAACGGCGGATACATCGGGTTATTGATGACGAGACTCGTTTGGAAGGCTTTCTCGCAAGCGCAACAACGTAGCGAGTCAGCTTTAGGCAATAGATCCAAAGTATATCGCGAAACCAGTTGAGCATCGTCATCTAAGTCATGGAGATCGTACTCCTTGTCGGTTTCTTTCTTGGTTTCCCACTACTCCCAACCTCGAGGGTCGTATCAATGTGGCTTCTGTCACGAAGCGGCGCCATTATCATGCACATCTGGCTTCTGAGCGGAGCAAGGACCCTGAGAAGCATCTTGGCACCCTTTCCTCAGCCACATGCACGGTAGCTTATTTTCTGGGTACTCGCACCGCCACAAGTGACAGCGTGCATCTTAACTGGTTGAACGGCAGAGCCTTGCGCCCCGCCCGCCGCATTCCCTCGCTTTGCAAGAAATTTTCTGTTCGGCGTGAGGGACCTTGAATGCCGCCCGCTGCACATTGAAATCTCGACTACGCAAATTAACGTTCCTCAGCCTTTGAAGTCTGCAATTCTTCAACACCTGTCATCATGTCTGCTGCGGAGCCCCAAGCTGCTACTGCCGCTGTCGACAAGCCGCTTGGCATGCGAAAGAATGGTACTTTCATCTGCCCCATTCTTGGGCTCATCCGACAGCTTGAAGCTAACTTTTTCTCCCTTTAGGCAAGCAATGGCACGAGACGAAGAAGGCATTTAGGCCGACGTCAGGCCTGACTTCCTACGAGAAGCGCGCCAAGGAGCGCGTCGCAATGGCGGCGATGAAGGCTAAGGAGAAGGAGATGAAAGACGAGAAGGAGGCAGAGCGCAAGGTATGATGATGCTTCCCTATGCTTGTTTTCCTCCCTCGGGCTACTCGGCTGACAAAAATTACAGCAAAAAGTCCAGGCTATCAAGGACAGAAGAGCCGCCAAGGAAGAGAAGGAGCGATACGAGAAGATGGCTGAGAAGATGCACAAGAAGCGTGTAGAAAGACTCAAAAGGAAGGAGAAGCGAAACAAGCTCATCAATTCATGAGCTTGACTGCACACGGGCAGAGTTGCTATTGGAAAGGGCACTACGATCGAATCTCGGCGCCGACAAAAGTCAGGAGTAGCGCCGGTTCCCCCGTGACAAATTCCGAAACAGACTCCGGTGGTGGAGGAAAAGAGTCGGGCCTAACGCGCCCGTATTTTGCACAGCTCAGTCGACAAACGACTCGACACACACGGGGCTCATGCGAGGCCGAACGCTATATCGTCAAGCGATACCCCCGTGGAGATACCAAGGCTACAACAAGGAGCAAAGCCACAGAGCGGGCAACAGGCGACAGGGAGGCGGATCCGGAGCCGGCGGGACGGAACAGAGGAGGGATGGAACTGCTGATCCCATCTGCGATGATCTACGATGTGTACTACGAAGAAAGCCCAATGAGGCTACTCATCCGAGCTTTTTCGCTCGGTGAAATCGGATCAAAGGGCCAGATGGCGGCAATGGAAGCCCAGCCAAACGTGGGCCGCGATTCATAGTTACATAGAAACAATAAGCGTATGACTTGATCCTCATTTTTGGGAAGGGGGGTTCTGGACCAGCAGTTTGCAAGTCCATCAAGGAAAGTGCCGGTGGTTTCGTTCAGACGACGTTTCATGACAACGGGGAAGGACCCCGAGAGGCGCATGTGAAAGTGCGTCATTGGCCCATACATAGAGAGGTATGCAGAAAGGCAGCACCAAACGACCAGCTTTCACTGGGGATTCTGGGAATCTCCGTGCACACTCCACCTCCACCTTTTTTCCCGATCTTCCACACTGCGACCTCCCTTCTGCAAGGAAACAGCCACACACACAAACCCAGCGCATCTCTTTTGCCCCCCAAAAGCCCAAAGCATTGACCGTTCCAGGCATAGGTCAGAAAAGTCTAAACTACGGATAGGCCGTCCCAACCAAAGAAATCGTCTGGCTCGGGGAGGGTCTTTTTTTTCAGCGCTCTTTCAGCGGGCGGCACTGGGCAACAAGCATAGGTACTCGCTGGCGTGTGCGGCTTTGCTTGAGCGCGGCGGAGCCGCAGCTGGAGCGCCTCTCTCTATCGTCCAGTTTCTTTGAAAGGGGGTGGTGGGAAAAGGACGAAAAAGCACAGGGTGAAACCATGTCTGCCAACGGCGACAGTGCTCACGGCTTTGAGCTGCCGTCGGCATCGGCCTCGACGTTGATGACGGCAGCCGCTATTGCCAACTTTTCCCAAAACCACGGTCAACAACAGCACCTATCCGTACACCACAGCCACAGCAGAAGCAAGAGCAAGACCAGAAACAACGATAAGATAGCTTCGGTCCCGATCTCGGCGCCCGTCACTGCTGCTGCTGCTGCTGCTGCTGCCCCTCCTACCACTGCTGCCACAACCTCGACGGCCACCGCCGCCGCTGCCGCCCTACTCCCTGCGCGACGACCGCGGCACCAGATCACGCGCTCCATCACCGAGTTCTCGCCGCCGCTGAGGATGCATCGGCACCGGCACAGTCACCACCACCACCCGACGCAGCACGCGCTGCACCTGAACGCGCAGAGCCGGAAAGATAGGGACAGGCTTCTGCTCTTGGATGAGAGAGCGCCCGGCGCTGCTGGTGCTGGTGGATTGGGTGGGCGAAGCTCGTTCGACATGACGAGGTCGGAGTATGTGACGCCTAGCAGGAGTCCGGACTCAAGTCGGAGGACGAGCGCGCTTGTTGGGCCGATGATTGGGGGTGGAGAGAACCCGGCTGCTGTTACGCCGCCTTCGAGGAAGCTGAGGAAGGTGAACAATGAGGCTGCACTGGTGGAGGAGAAAGGTCGGACGGCGAATAGGGTTGCGTACGTTCTCTTCCGTGATGGTCTTTCTTTGAAGAAGCTTGGGACTGACATGTCGGTGTTTCTACGTATAGCGGCTTGAAGAACTCGCTCGTCGAGCTAAGCGGATTCTCAACAGCGACAACCCGACGACTAGACGAGACGTACTACTCGGTCCTCGAAAAGAAGAGCATGCTGCAAAACACAATCTCGGCGATCCGCGAGCTGACGGAGGCCTCGCGGCAGATGACGGGCGAGTTCGTCTCCGAGGCCGACGAGATGGCGCGGGACGTGGCGGGCCAGCTCGACACTTTCGGGCAGTTCGGCGAGCAGGAGTCGCGCATCAAGACGCTCCAGGGCCGCATCGAGTCCGGCCGGACGAGGATCGAGGGCTTGAGTGGTCGCGTCGACCTCGTAAGGCGGCGGATCGAGGGGTGGGAGAGGGCGGACCGGGAGTGGCAGGAGAAGACGCGCAAGAGGCTGCGGGCCGTGTGGATCGTCACGTCGGTGGTGTTTGCGGTGCTGATTCTGCTGTTTGTGGGCGCGCAGTACCTCGGCGGGCCGGCGGATCCCGAGGGCGCTGCCGGGAGGGCGTTGAAGGGGCTTGGGAAGGGGGCGAATCGGAGCGTGGATGGGGCTGAGCGGGCGCCCAAGTTGTCGCCTTTGTGGGAGGATAGACGGGGGCGGGAGGAGGAAGAGGATCGGTTGAGGGTGTTTGACGAGCTTTGAGGAGCTTCGAAGGATCGACTTGTGATATACTGTGCTTGAAAAGGGATTTGGCATTGCGGTTACTGCATATTAATATGATACCCACACAACAGAGGCATTATTAGATTGGTTGATTACAATATAGCTTCTTTTTCGTTTGCAAGATTGTGACTCGTTTCGACTCTCAAAGCCATTCAGTTCGCAATTCTACATAACTCACCCCTATTTCATTGCCAAAGCTTCTGCTCACTACTTTCATCGAGAGAGCTTCACGTGGGTCTGACTACCCACACCCGCGATCTTCGTGGTATACAGAGGCTTTACCAGGGGGGTTTATGCCTCAAGCTTCATCATGGCAGTAGTCGCAGATGTCCACAACCCACACCTTCTTCTCAACCTCGTGTGGCATCCTCAGGTACGATACGGCGATAATGCTCAGTCGACATCAAGCCTTGTCGTATTGTCCAAGGGCCTTGCGTTCAGGCGTATTCTAGGAAATCGGCCGAGCTCTGGGTATTACTCGGTTTCTGTCTTGCTTGGGATTCTCTGCTCTATGTATCGTAGTAAACTGGCACTTGCCCCCTCTTTGGAAGTTATCCGAGCTTGTCGGCATGAGATTATCACGTAGAGTGAGATTAGACGCGTAGCGATGGAACACGACGAGAGAGCCATTGGGCCTATGGTTTTGCCTCTTTTGTCTGCAATCTCGGTGTAGATATTTGCTCGCGGTGCATTCTGATTCTGAATATCTCTTCTCGGTCTTGGCTAGACTACTGAGTAGGGTTCTATGCCTTGACAGGTAGAAAGCACCGCAGAGAATATAGGGTTGATTTGCCTCCTCGTATTACACCATCCTCTTTTGTCATGGCCATGGGTATGGCCATGGAACACGCGCAGTTGGTTCCGCGCAGTGCTGGATACTGCCCACACTTATCGAACCATCCTAGTTCCCAATGATGGCTCGTCAGTTTTCCATTTGTGTTTCAAGGGACTCTGACGTGAGGGAACGGTATACTGCCATCGGGGCAATGGAATACCGAAAACGCAGGAGTGAAGAGCGCCCGTAGCAAACTTCCGTCTTTAGCCACCTTCTCTGGCACAAAACTTGTATACCTAGCTATCACCGTGTTGTCTGGGGTGGCATTATACGATGTAGTCGAGACCGGTATCGAAGACGAAGAGGATCCCCTCATGAAGCAGAATCAAAGGGCATAGCTCTTTGTTTGACATGGGGGGCTGATGCCCTGTACTCAGATTCGTCCATTCTGTTTCCTGATTGAGGCAGGCTTCCCCTTGTTTTCATGGACGTACGATAGACCAGCCTTGGTAGATCCTTTTTGAAGCTCAATCATTAGTGTTTATCTCTACCTAATACTGGACATGTATACTGCCCCTGTATATTACGGTGAGAGATTGCGATGGCTTTGATAATGATTTGCCTAGGATCCAACTTCGCCAACGCCTTTTCTGTAGCTTCAAGCTGCTATAGTATGATGTGAACCAAGTGCTATAATGATGTAGGGATAAAGAGTATGCGGCAGTCAGAGATCGTAGTGGGTAGGTGAATTAGCAATGTAGGACTCAACGTCTGTACGTTCTTGGACGTGATCGGAATGAGGTTCCCGGGAAGACCGCACGTTTGTGACTCCCAGACTTGACAAAAAAGGGGTAACCCTTCGGAGGAAATGCAAGGCGGTGAAGAGGGACAACGACCTTGTTAAGAAAGAGCCATACAGTCACTGAATATGGGTAGCTTTTGGCAAAATTATTTGCTTCACCTGTCACCATCGGATGGGGAGCCTCCTGGCGCAGTAGCTGCGACTGATCACTTGCACGAACACACAAAGGGAGTCGACCCCCGATGATTTTGTTTTTGTGAGGTCTGAGATTGATTCTAGCTTGCACCGCTTTTTGTTCTTTTTCTTTTCACTCCAATGATTCTTTTGAGTTGATGTCTTACCACATGAGTTCTATATTAGCTTCCATAGGGGCTTGAGATGATGCTCCAGGCAGCTTTCTATTGATAATAACAGACGGATAGACTTTTAGAATAGATTGTCCCCAACAGCTCTCTGGCAGATATGAAGCAATCAATATCGAATGAGACACACAGCCGACTGAGGAGCAGCTTTTGATACGTGATCATTTCCCCACGATCGATAAAGCAACTCGTCTTCTGAAATTGTGTGACAGGCTGACGTTTAATCGGACACATGGTCAGAGTTTACGTCAATCCATCACTTGCAAGAATATTGACGATGTAGCTTAGGGATTTGCCCCTCATAAATACTTTAGCCAGTATCGTATGCTCACAGTTTCACAACGAGAGCTCGACCGCGTTCTATCCTGAGAAATCTCCACATAGGCTGCTTAAGATGGTTTGTGGTGGAATTCGGCGACGATGTACCGGGTTTCTCGCTAAACCAGCGACCTACGTCCAACTCGAACATCCCTTGGTGTCACCCTTCTGCTCGCATCTGGCCCTCGATCGGCCTGACCATTCTTCAT